AAAAAAAAATAATTCTTTATAGTTTTAATTTTACATCATATTTCTAAAGAACCCTTAATGTCATAACCAACGTGAATTTATAAAATCTACCGTCAGAAAAATAATAACAAAGTGTTATTATATCTATCACCAACCCTTTTACGTCCCCACTGCAGGGGCTCAGGCCTTCCTTATGGATGGTTAAGGAGATAGGCCATGACCCTCCACGCTGGCCCAATGCGGATTGGAGGGTATTAACGACTGCAAATGCAGCCGGGACCAACGGCTTAATGTGCCTTCCGAAGCACGGAGTAGCTCGAGATAATAATTTTTTTGGTCACCCATCCCATGACCGACCTTTGCGAAAGTTGCTTAACGACTACGATCGCGGGCCGCGGCGCTTATCCTCTACGCCACCGAGCTACTCCGTTATTATATCTAGAGAAACGTAAATAATGCAAGTCTGTGAATTATTTTGTAGCCGAGAACTAAGAAGCACTTTTACAATACTTGTAATGGTTTACGGGTATTAACTAGAAATAGATTTTTATTTATTGTTCTCGTTTTTTTTTTATTCTTCATCTTCTACTTCGTTAAAACACATTAAGTACTAATCGGACACATGACAAAGGGATCGGTACTCTATTATCTATCAAAAAAGGCGAAAATATTACGTTTGTTGTATTGGAGCCCTTGGGAGCCACCCTTAAATATTTATTTATTGTTTTTGGTATTTGTATTTATAGCGGCGTCTATTAAAATTTCAATTGTCTTGCTTTCACAATTCGTGATATATAGCCTGGTGATAAAGAAACGAACAACGGGGTCTTAGTAATAGGGCTTTTACTCTTTGGGTGCGCAACCCTAAAGTGATTGTATAAAATAAACAATTGTCCGTTATATCTATGCGTAAGTACAACCAAAAATGCATTTATCTGTCTTATTAGACACGATCAACTGGAATAGGGAGTCATATACTTTTAGAAACACTGTTCTAAGTAAATAACCCGAATGGGCTAGGGTTGCCATTAAACTACAAAGACCAATTCATTTAAAACAATAAATTGGGAGAAAAGTTTCTTCGCATTTTATATGAAAATTTAAAACGTTCTTTAATAAAGTTTATTTACATGTGACTAAAGTATGTAGGTACCATTTTGATCGATAAATTTTTGCCATCTTGTAGATAGGGACATGCATCCATTGCTATAGAAGTTTTGGGGCAAAAAACCGCGAAAAATGGTTTTGACAGTCCTCGCGTGATGTTAAACAGACACTGCCTAATAAAGAATTCTGAAGCTACCGAAACAGGTAGAAATCTGCAAGGTCAGGACCATACGGCGAATGCAATAACACTTCCCAGCCAAATTCTCTTAATTTTTGCTGAACGGCAAAAGATGTGTGAGGTCTAGCGTTACCATTATGAAAAACCACACCCCTTCTATTAATTAATTCTGGTCGCCTTCTCTCAACTTCTTGCTTTAATTTCACCAGTTGTTCAGTGTAGTGTTCAGAATCGTTGGTCCTCCCTGCCGGTAACAGCTCATAATGAATAAAGCCTTTCCAATCCCCACCATACACAGCATAACCTTGTTGTGAGTTAACCCGGGTTTCATCACAGTCAGTAAGCCTGACCGACTTTTGACCACGGCCTTTATAGCACGTTCTTGTCGTACGTGATCCACTTTTCATCATCAGTTATCAGTTTTTTCAAAAATGGTTCGATTTCATTACGCCGTAATAAAGAATTACAAATGAGTACACGGTTCATTAGGTTTCTTTCAGTGAGCTGGTAAGGTAACCAAATATCCAACCCAGATTATTTCAAATGCGCCAAAACTATTTTATGGTCAATCCCCAGTTCTTCAGCCACATTGTAACTACTGATATGCCGATCTTGCTCCACTTTGTCAAAAATGGCATCCATTTTATCCACAACAGGGCGACCGGAGCGACATGCATCTTTGACATTAAAATTACCAGTCTGAAAATATTTAAACCAAATTCGTGCTACTCTCACAGAAACTGCACTACGTCCACAAACGTCACAATTTCTCTTTCGTGGTTTGCGTTGCATTTTTACTTATATTTTTTGTAATAAAATTTTAAAAATCTTAATTTCTTAATTAGATTCACTCATTTGGACAGTAAGAAAAACAAATGAAAATCACACATTTTCCTAATTTGAATTCAGAGTTAACTTTTTAAATCGAAATTTTTAATGATACCGAAACCAGCCAGATACAAATGGTATAACCAGAAAGATTTTATTATAAGTTTAGGCATACTATATGTGAAAAACATATGTGAAAGGCATACTATGTGTGAATATAACGCTAATTGAAAAATATTATACAAAGTTAACAAAGTAACAAACAATTGAACTTATTAATATATTTTTTATATGGCTCACAAAACTGGTTTACAATGATCACATTAATAGATAAAAAACATTTGAATCTTTGAGACTACATTAAAACCTACTCGATGTAAGTACAACATGCAGTTAATGTAATGAAAGTCCATATTCTTACAGGAATGGATTATTTACTATTCTAGAGACATTATCATGACGAATTTAAATTAAAGTATGTATTTGATTTAGATTTAGAATATGAATTGGAAAAAATAACAAAATAATAATGGAAAATATCTAAACATAAAAAGTATTTTGTATCCGACGTGGATGCAGCAGAGTTAATCCAGCTGATACTAATTATTCACTTAAAAAATGTATAATGCTAATTAACATAATATAATGCTGATAAAAAATTAACTTTTTAAAGTAAAATAATAACCCTTTTTCTTATCAACTCTTCTTATCACTATTATTTGACTAATAATATTGATAAGAAGAGCTTACTAAAGCACTTTCGCATTGAAGTTTAGCATATCGACATATACGCTATAATTAAACGCAAACAAAATCTATAAGCGGCTGATTTATAACGGCATATTATGTAATTCCTCGAGCTCGAGAAAAGAAGGAATTTTACCAGATACGACTTTCTTTCAAAGTTGCAAAAATAAAATACAAAATTCATAGAATAAAATAAGTTTTTATTGTTGAAATATGAGATATCTTTTATACAATCCTGAAAGTAGATGACACTTCCATTTTATACACTCCAACATTTGTGACTAAGTTATAATTAATTATAATCTTATTTTACTATAAGTACATTATCTTATAATATTTATTCTAATTACAAAAACACCACTTATTGATATAAAAAAACTACTCACGGAGCAGACCAAATAGACTATAATGGCGACGATGTCAATTTTGGTAATAACCACGTATTTTTTGCGTAATTATTGAGTTGGCATGACGTCACACCTTTGTACTTTTTACTCATCAACTTTAATGTCTGTTATCTAAGCCACTTCTGTTAAATTTTCTATTATCATATCTATTCTTGACAAGCAATTCGGAACATATAATGTAACGGTGTGCCATACAACCGGTTTTTTTGTCCTAGGTGTCAGCATGCAAACTTTTTGTCTTTGATATTCAACATCATTTCTTTTTAATATTCACCTTTCGTAATTTAAAATTTTGACTAATCAATTATACTCTTTATGGATGTCAGTTCGTAAAAAAATCATCTGTTGTAACATGTAAATCACATATAAATTTAAACATAAAATTTTATTAATAATTAATAATAATAATGAGTAATTAAAATAAAAATTATATAATATAATAAAAGTGTATTCTGTTACTTGGATGATTCAAGTTTTTATCAAAAAACCAGAAAGGTATTTATTCGTTTTATTTGGTAATTTTAATTTTATATTTAGGTAACTTACGGACTGTTTATATATATATATATATATATATATATATATATATTTTTGTTTGTTACAGTTTCTTTTCTTTACCATTTATACCATAAAATAAATCCATTCTCAAGCTAGTCAGCCTTTCATTAATTCGCCTATGCATCTCCGTCACAATACTAAAATATAATATGCTCAAAATAGTGTATTCCTGCAATGATATTAACCAAAATATATGACGCCGTGATCAAGTTTTGTACAGAATACAAAGCCCCGTGAGCAATCAACGTCAGTAGAACGACTATTAAAATGTGACGTCACAACTTATTATTGTGGGCGTGTCCCTCGTGCCCGTAATGGCATGCGACCGTGATACGTAACATAATCTTTTATTTTTATTTATTGGATGGCGTTAAATAGACCCCGAAACTATTCGACTGATATTAAACATTCATTCACCTACAGGAAGTCACGTCGTATGTCATACATCATCGTCATACGTCACTGAAAATATTTCAAAGTAGCGACATCTATTTTTGTTTCTAGGTAATTTTTTCAGTACTTCAGTAGTTATAAAAAGGCGTAATGCTGTTTTGTATAGTATTTTTATTTTTAATAAATTAATACTTTAAAGGACACATGTGTCCTCACGAATAATATTATATCTAATTTACGAGTACTTAATACTTAAAATGTACACTAAATGTATATTCAACAGCACATCACCGTTTAGAAATTCGCTCCAGTCGATTTTAAACCTTAAAATGGTCCATTTCAATTTAAAATTGATTGAGAAAGATTCTAATTCAAAAATTTATATAATTATCAAAACACATTTTATAGCCCATATGTGTATCTATATAGTGATGGTAGGTGAAAAAATGTAATTTTATATATTTTCATATTTGTATTACGATAGTAGCTTTTAGGAGATTTTGTTAAAATAAATATTTCCTTTTCTCTACTTTAAGCTATTTTGAAGTCGACCTTTTATTAACACAAATACCAGATTTTAAATAAATATAATATCACTTTAATATTCCCAAATTTTTGTCGTAATCTAACGAGCCGTAAGCGGCGCGCTGAAGCGATAAAGACAATCCTTCGTTTAAATCTCAACCGACGTTTAAAGTCCGTATGTGCTGTTTTATTTACTTTTCCTAAATATAGGATTTATTTGCTATCCGTACACAATTTTTTTCGTACATCTTGGTAGATATCACCGGTTGACCTCCAGGTACAGTAAGTACATCATAATATAGTTTATAGAGCTTTTCCGACTTGATCTCTTTTGTTATTAGGTTTGTGCACCGATAACAAATATTTCCTGTACATACTATATTTTAAATTAGGGCATCACATCGAGTTCGGGAGGCAAAGGGATACTCTTCATGATGGCGAACCGTTTCAGGGCATCATACTTGCTGCGGAGCGCCTCGATCTCTTCACGGATCCTGTTGTTCTCCTCCTGCATCAGTTCCATGTCGTGCCACTCCTGGGGAACGTTACATTTATATTATCATACAAAATGTTTCCACTTAATAATCACTGCATAGCATCATAACAGACTTTTAGTAGATAAGAACTTTTAATCAAACGTTTATTTTTTTTAAATTAACGGCACTGCAATAAAGTGTTTTTAGGTAAAACATATAAAATACATTCAACTGTCTAAAACGGGCGACATTTTAGACTTGATTAAAGAGCGAAGATCGCAATTTAACGATTTCAGTCGCACAATCACAGCGAAAAAGAAAATTACCTTGATGCTATGATAATTTTCTTTATAGTGCTTAGATTTTTGAGGAATAAAGTAGCTCTTTTGGCCTTAGTTATTACCACTACGTAATTATTAAGTTCTCTGTTACTCCCCCAGAATAACTGATTTACCAATGCGAGGTTAGTTACTCCTCGGTTGAGAAACACTTCCCTATATATATCGTTAAAATACGATCGCTATGATCTAGCGATCGAATTCGGTAAATTGCAATCACAAACTCTATCCAGACTACATGCCCTAGTCTTAACGTAACGGCAGTCTAAGGTTAACGAAGTTATGCTTCTGTTATTAGAAAAATAATATTAAATGAGGTTATGACTTTTCTTTTTAATTTTCAAAATTTCCCGCGAAAACGCTAACATCTGTAATGGCGTCGATATGACGTCACGCCTCTCTAAAACTAATATCGTTATATGTATGCTATGTTATTAATAAACAAACTTAAGCGTAGGAGTAAATTTACGCTGAGACAACACATATTTCAAAATAAACTTAAATCATTTTTATTGGAGAAGTGCTACTATTCAATCAAATCAAATCAAATAATTTATTGGCCATATAACTCAGAAGGTTACACTCGGCAAGTCTTTTACAATAAGCATATTAAATTAAAAATAAAGGTTTAAATCATGCAGGTCAAATCATTGTAAGTAGGAATGTCAAATAAATTAAGTATCTTAACAATGTCAAAATGGTTATTTTTCCGATCCTTAATAATCAATTATATCACAGTCAATTAAATTACAATTAAATTACAACATCACAAATTAGATTATACAAACATAGGTTATATATAATTTTATGTCATAAAATATTGATGATTATTATATCTTGTCATCTACCATAGAGATATAGTCAATTTCGTATCTCACCCATCTTTATGTAGGAATGAATATTCATCCAAACGCATAGACATAAATTCATTTAAAGAGTATAAGGGATGCTGAATAAAAAAAAATTTAATTGTTCTTTCGAATTCGTCGTCATTCATGTATTTGATACTGAGGGGAAGTTTATTATACATTATAATTTTATTATATATGCCTTGTTTTTGTACCTTTGCCAATCTTGTTTTAGGCAAACACAATCGTTCCTTATTACGTAAGTTATAGCTATGGATGTCCATCTTTCTCAAATGTGAATCCCGATCATGGTGTATTTCTTTAAACATTTATAAATGTATAAAGAAATCGATGAGTACTTGAATGATAAAAATAAATAACTTGACATTTTTGTTTACCTATGATTGTTTTTGACATAAATTGCGCAACCTTGACATTGATATATTTGTAATTTTGCATGTGGAATTTTATTTGACTTTGTATCGTTTTATAATTTGATCTTATTTCTGTTGTTGTGATTATATATTGTAATTTCCGATACAATGAATATTGTTTTATGGAATAAATGATGATGATGAATGATGATGATGACTGCACTCAGTATTAGACAAAATTCATATTATTAAACAGAGACTTAGCTAAGATTAACATAGTACGAAGTTCTACGGTAGTAATATCTGCCCCTAGAAGGTAGTAGGTTTGCTTATTCTCTGTATAATATGAATTTGGACCAATACTAAAATTGCAATTTAAGCGAAAATTTACTCTGACGCTAAACCTTGTTTATTAATAGCCAGGGCTTAATTCTCTAAGTTCCGATATGAGTAGAGGGGCGTGACGTCACGCGCTGTTTGCGGTCACGTGACAACCAGGATAAAATATTTGTTTTTTCATTACACACTTTTTGATGGTGATCGTTTACTGTCTTCACTTTTATTTGATAACTTAATTACTTAAATAAATTTATTTGCATAAAACATAGTTTGTTGTAATATGACGGATCATAAAAGATAAGCTTAACATTTTAAGCTTCTTTTCCTAATGGGAAAACATAATTAAATTCTATCTACATAAAATTAACAACAAAAAAATGCAATTCTATTTAGTCCGTCAGTCAGCTAATATAAAAATACTAGATACGTATTTTTTTTTACTTCAATTTAACAAGAAATAGCTTAGATAACAGGCATTAAAGTTGAGGAGTGGGGGCTCGCTACGTCACAGTTTAGTAGAAAACGTACCATAAAGCGACGTCATGCGAAATTTCAACTCCATGTATCGCCGTAATTTTATGATTACGAAAAAAATAAAAACAATACGTCTTTAATATTTTTTAACTCTACCTGACGGACAAACAAACAAAAATTAGTCGTCATCCCTATTTGTTTTTATCATACCTGACTCTTTTCAGTTTCGAGTTCATCTTTCTGTTCTATTCTCTTGATGCGGCACGACGCGGCATAACCACGGTTTTTTAGTGTCCGGCGTCGCTGTTTCATCCTGTAACGTACATTATTATACAGTTTATAGACATTTGGTGTAGCTCGTTGGCGTACAGGATACGCGCCGCAGCCCGCAATCGTTGTTGCTAAGCGACTTTCGAAACGGTCGGCCACGGGATGGGTGACCAAAAAATTATTAACTCCAGGCTGCATTTACAGTCGTTAATACTCTTCGATCCTTATGGGGCAGCTTGGAGGGCCTCCTTAACCAATCAAAATGAAGGCCTGAGCCCCTGTAGTGGGGACGTAAACGGGCTAATGCTGATAATAGTTTGGATATCAATGACACAGCGGACTGCTTAATCAGTCAGTCCCGAAATTGCTGTACCTATTCCATTCACACTCCTGAAAGACTGGAAAAAGAGAATGCTTCCCAATCTCAGTGCATTAGCTTGGTTAGGTTTCTGCTTCACAACGCCAGAATAGCGATTTTGAATGAATAATTTATTGGACACAAAATTAAAATCATATTACCCAGACAGATATTCCAGCATGGTGTGTCCAAAAGGCTTAATTTTCTCATCTGCACTGGGTAACAAGTTGCAGAAAAAACTTATGGTACAACATAACATATGGTTTAGAGATATATGAGATTCACAATACAATGGCATATTGATATTTATCTAATAATAAAATACTTGAAAAATTTTACAGTCTCTGGTACCTGTCCTGCGATTCTATAAAAATCCAAACCAGAATTCGAATTCACTCAGGTGTCCTAATTCACTTCAAAAAGCGGCATCTGCTCAATCTTGAATTGGTAATAACATTTCGTGGCAAAAGTGAAGTGAGTTTCAAAAAAACATAGAATAGAACATCTGAGACACGTATATTCAGATAAGAATCTGTTTGAGTGATTCAGATCACTCAAACAGATTTTCATTTCTGATTTTAATTTTTTTAACAATCAATTGATAGCAGTTTCATAAAACTAGGACTTTTTGACTTGTGACTCATAAAAAACTATGATGTATTACTATCAATTCAAAATTATATTATTTTTAAATAAACCCTCTCTCTAATACTGACAAAATTTAATTAACACAAACATGTCAATTTACTATAATTCATATATCAGTTACCTTACAATCTGATCCCTTGTGAGACCTCTCATCTTCAGCTGCCTGTTTAGATCTCTTACTGAAATGGAGACCAGCTCATCGTCGCTGATCTCCGCGCATGGGGTAGGGGATAAGGGAGCCTGAAATAATTTCCAGAATTTAAGATGAGTATGTTTTGAAGTTTCAGTGATCAGGTGATAGTAGAAGTAGTATTGTAGAATTACATTCTTCACTGTAAATAGATTAAATGGATGATTAAAACAGAGATGATGTCTAAAAAAAAATCTATTTCATTTCGCAGTCAGGTAATAGAAAAATATAAGATGCATATTTTTGCTTTAGTTTAACAAGAAATGGCTTAGATAATATGTATTTAAGCTGAGGAGTGGGGGCTTGTAAAAAATGTACAAAGATCTGATGTCAAGTGACATTTCAACTCAATATATTAAAATATATTTATATAAGTATTTAATATTCTTCTATAATCTAGATGATGGACAGACAGACAATTATAATTCGTCATCGCTATTGCATTCTTCACTTTAAATAGATAATTTATATATGATAAAATTAATTTTAACCATTAATTGATATAAAAATTATTATTATTACTCAATAATTATTGTGAACTATATTTTTTTGGATAACTACTGACGTTTTTAAGGACATTTATATATGACTTTAGACCCATTTCAATTAATTTAGACCCATTTGCATTGCAATTAGTGCAAATATTTGTACATTTTGGTCTACAGACACAGAATGTGTATTTCTCTGAATATTTAATATAAAATTTGTATCATGCGACATTATAGGTGTGCTAATTGATACAAATAAAACATCTATCCTTTGTAATAAACTGTGCCCTACAAAAAATTGAGGTATATAGAAGCAAGAGAGTTTTATGTTGACATTACAATGTCTATTATCTCAATGTGTAATACTTGTAGGAAAGAAATTGTTCAGGATAGCAAAAAAGAATGAATTCCCGGTTTTGATCTTTTTATATTTATTTACCCTTTTAGATTTCACCAGAACCCAGTATAAGCATTATTTATAACTATATTTTAGAAAGTATAATAAGAGACTACTTCAATAAATATATTGTTATCAGGGGAAATATAGCAATAAAAATAGATGAACTGGCCTAGATAATCCGGGAGCAGTGAAAACCAGAATGCCAGTGCAAATATTATTACAATTAATCCTCACCATAATTGCTTTCCTCACACCCAATTCTTTTAAATCATGAGGCATAATAATTTTTGTTGTCCAAACTTAATAATTATGTCCCGTTAGGATGTATTTTCACTTCACTGCTTCACTTCCAGTCGCAAGTATGACCTTTCTGGCTGGACCTTTCACGAAAATTGCAACGTAAAAAATAGACAGTCCTAGATTAAAGCATTTATCCAATAAACGTATGACTTGAACTATTAGCTTTATTAAGTTTGTTATTAATATTTATCGACGTTCACCAAAAACAAGGAAATACACAAACAAAAGTAAAAAAAATCTCTTATTTTTGGAAATTATATGATGGCCTATTTGCATTTACACAATTCCGCCAATGTCACGTTTGTGGTCTTTACACGTATAGAAACAATAATAAAATATGTAAAATTTTGAATTTAAATAAAATAAAAAAAATAGCTCTGAGCGCGTCTATCTGATTACATTGTTAAAGATAATACAAATAGAATGTATATAGAAAACAAATATATTTATAAATTAAGATTATTATTGATTGCAAAGAATTTTGCTAAAATTTTGAATGGGCTGGGATTCTCCATACTCAAGATACATTTTATATTTGTTGGACGTGGAACTTTTGATGGTAGCAAATCATAAAGCGAAATGGATAAATTTGAACAATTAAATAAAATATGATCCGTAGTTCCTTCCTCAATGCCACAATCGCAGAGGGGGTTGTCTTTAATTTTAAATTTGGCAAGTCGAACCGGCGTACACACATGTCCAATTCTCAGGCGACAAATAATTGAAATCGTTTTTTTACTTAAAAGCTTTTCCTTAAAGAACCAGGGAGTACTGGGGATAGTTCTCTGAATTTCAAAATAATACTTTCCCGCTCTATTTCTAGTATTTTCCCAATCAACATTCCATGACCTCATTAAATGTTCATGTGCTAGTACAAAGAGATCGTGATGAAAAAGTTTGGAATATTTTAAAGAGCCAGTTATAACAGCTTGCTTAGCACATGCATCAGCTGTCTCGTTCCCAGGAATACCACAGTGTCCCGGTATCCATGCGAGGGTAATGAGCAGCTTCTTAAGATGGCACCTATGCAATGCTTGTCTTATTTTAAATATTATTGGAAATTTATTTTTAGAACGAAACGGATGTGATATTATAGACTGTAAGCAACTCTGTGAATCTGTGAAAATGATAGTTTTGTTAAAGTTATGAGATTCGGCAAATAGGATGGCCTCAAGGAGAGCTAAAGCTTCTCCTGTAAATACAGAAGAGAGAGAGGGAATTTTGAAACTTAATACTAATCTGTGAGCGGGAATCCATACTGCTGATCCAACTGGATCATTAACATGCTGCTTGGACGCATCAGTGTACATAGAAATCCAGCCTTTATATTCCGATGCTAATTTCCGTGCCATTGTACGCATGGCATATGGAGAGTCTTTGTCGATCCCAAAATCAAGAAGAATGATCGGCTCAAAAATAAGTGATTCAAAACTATTTTCAAAAAGAGGAAGACGAGAATACCGTTCTATGGGAAGGGAAGGAGTATGGAATTTTTTGTAGCTATGGAGGATACAAGAGACACCTACCGATGAACTGGAGGAAGTACTAGAAACTTTCAACAATATTTCTAATTTTTTAAGTAAAGGATGGGATGCACGTTGTATAACTTTAAGGAAAAATCGATCACTCAAAAATTGCCTACGCAGATACAAAGGGGGATCAACGCATTCGATCTGGAGACTATTGATAGGAGACGATTTCATGGCACCTATAATAATCCGCAAGCATTTTGATTGAACTTTAGAAATTTTATCAAGTGGCAACTTATTACATGGGTCTAAAAGAAAGGAACCATAATCGAAATGACAGCGGACTAGGGCATTATATATTAATTTTTGAGTGAATGGATGAGCACCCCACCATACACCCGAAAGAGCACGGAGAACATTGACCCCTTTCTCGCATTTATTTACAACACTATGGAAATGAGGAGTTCCTGATAATTTAGAATCTAGAATAACGCCTAAAAATTTTACTTGGTTATTCATGGGAATAGGGACATCTTGAAAAACTATTTGAGCTGTAGGAATGTTACGCTTTCTGGTAAACACTACACTGCAGCATTTAGAAACTGATAGTGACAAGCCGTGATCCATTAGCCAATCACCAAGATAACTTAACGCAGTATTGAGACGAAAGCAAGCTTCCTCGATTGAATTCGATCTTATATAGAGGGCTACGTCATCTGCATACTGTAAGACTTGACAGAATGAATCTACAACACTCTCTAGGTCATAAGTATAAATACTATATAGCAGGGGACTCAAAACCGACCCTTGAGGTAGACCATACCAAACAGACCTGACTATAGAAGGCGCTCCATGACATTTGATTTCAATAGACCTAGCTGAAATAGAATTAACTATGAATCGAACCAACTTCTCAGGAACACTCAACTGAATCAATTTACGTCTGAGAATTGGAAGAAGGACATTATCATAGGCGCCTGCTATATCTAAAAACGCAGCAACTACATATTGCTTTTTCTTAAAAGCTATACGAATATCAGTCGTAAGTATACTTAAATTATCCAGAGTGCTGAAACCCTTTCGAAAACCAAACTGAGATTTAGCCAAAAGACCTTGACTCTCAAAAAACCACTCTAGACGATTCCTGATCATATGTTCTGACACTTTGAAAAGGGTGGACGATAACGCAATGGGCCTATAAGAATTATAGTCCAAAGGGTCTTTGCCAGGTTTAAGCAGAGGGATAACTAGTTGCTTATTCCAGGATTCAGGGATGATACCTAAATGGTAAAAGGTATTAACTAATTTCAAATAATATAGTTTGGTTTCTTCCCTCGACTTAACAAGAAACGAATATGGAATACCATCTATACCGGGGGCAGTATCTCTAAGACCTCCAAGTGCCAAGTCAAGTTCCCGCAAGGTGAAAGGATTATCTAAATTACCAACAGATGGGATGATGTCATATGTTTTTATAGGAAGATAGTCACAGTTCGGAACAAACGAGGGAGCGAGTTTATCAGCAAATGAGGTAACCCATCCTGATGGATCGTTAGCTGACACAGATTTTGACCTCATAGAACCACGAAATCGATTCATTTGTCTCCAAACCATGCCTGCGGAAGTGCGAGGAGACATGCTTTCGCAAAACCTAGTCCAACCAAGTTTCTTTTTTTGAGATAAAAATTTTTTGGAGTGAACAGCTATTTGTTGGTACTGAGAGAAGTTTTCTTCAGTCATAGACAGATTGTATTTCTTCTCTGCTTCCTTTCTCTTACGGATAATGTCTGTGCATTCGGAATCCCACCATGGTGGAGAATTTCTTTTACGTATCGTTGATTTCGTGGGAATATGAGAATTGGCAGAACTGAGAAGAGTTTCCGTGAAGGCTTCATATGCAGTCAAACAACTTGCATTGGAAATCTCAGGTAATGAATTTAATTTATTTTTAACTTCTAAAGAAAAACATGTCCAATCAGCTTTATTTAAATCAAATTTCAAAAGGGGAGTACTACTGAATGTTGTGAGCGTACGGTCAGGTAAAGTTAAAAGAATGGGAAAGTGATCACTACCAAAGGTACTACTTAAAACATCCCATAAAAAAAGAGAAGATAGACGCGAAGAGCAAATGGATAAGTCAACTGCACTCTGGTTCTGTGATGGGGAGTTTCTCCTTGTAGGTCTACCATTGTTCAAAACACATAAGTCCAGCTCATCTAATAAATCAATAATTAAACTGCCAAAGGTATCGGAGTGATAGGAGCCCCATGACTCATGATGAGCATTGAAATCACCCAAAATAAGCACAGGCGGTGGTAAAGCAGAAATAATTACCCGGAGTTCCAATAAAACAGATACATTTGGGTGTGGGATATATAGCGAAAGAAAAGAAATATTATTTATTCTAACAGCAACAGCATTAATTAGATCCCTATTATGAACAGGAAGTGGGACTTGAGTAAATAGTAGGGAGTTACTAATAATGAGAGCACTTCCTGCATAACCGTCATCTCTGTCATCGCGCAGACATAGATATCCAGGAATATTGAAAGAAATATTCCTAGGAAGCCACGTCTCCGAAATGGCAAAAATAAGAGGAGAGTACTTATATATAAAATATTGGATTTCATGCTTTTTAGAACGAATACTATTGCTGTTCCACTGAATTATATTCAGAGGAGCCATTTTTGGTTAATAAATTTAAAAGAGGTAAAATTTTCGGAGCTACGTTGGGCGGTAATGGTACGTCACTGAATTTCGACAAAATATTAGCAACAAGCAACCACAGAAGATCAAGACAATCGTCATTCGGAACTATATCATTAGTACTCGAGTTACTAAGAGCACATCCATTAGGAAGAGTTGGAGGACAATTCCTAATTATGTCCTGGTGAGCCTGCTTGTCATATTCCTTCCCCAGGGCAGAATGTTGTCGAGGAGAGAGGAAAACAGTCTTTTTATAAGAACGAGAAGTCAGAGGTGAGGGTTGAGAATGCACAATTTGAGGTACGGTTGTAGTCGAAGAATTTACTGACTCAGAGTACAACCTTCTTACATTGGGATATAAAGCAGAAGCTTCTTGGAAAGAAATATTATCTTGAGTCATTCTAATTTTGATCGACTTTTGGCGACACTGTTCAGGACAGATCTTGTTCGTAGCAAAGTGTTTACCAGAACAGTATAAACACGAAGCAATATCTTCTGTAATATTACAACTCTCTCCCATATGCGGCTGCGCACAACGATAACATCTCGGTTTAGATCGGCACTGAGATTTAATATGTCCAAAACGGCAACAATTGTTGCATTGGATAATTGGGAGTTGATATGGGATAACGGGAATAGAGGTATAAAAAGAAAAAACTCTTTCAGGGAGATTTTGTCCTTTGAATGTTAAAACAACTGTTTGGGTAGGGATCCAAGAAGCATGACCATCTAAAACTCGTTTTCTATTGAGGCGTCTGGCTTTTAGAACCATCCCACAGTAATCAGGAATAACTAAAGAGTCGACCAGCTCGTCCATGCATATTTCCGTTGGAATGCCTCTAATGACACCCATGCGTGTAACATTAAAAGTAGGAATTACTACAGTATAATTGTAACGAGCTAATAAAGGATTTATTAAAAAGTTATTAGCATCCTTACCAGTTTTAAATTCAACAGCAATACGGTTGCGGCCAATTTTTTTGACACCATCCTTAACTATATTGGTGATTTTGTTTTGCTTTAGGAATTGCCCGAAAATAATTGGTCGAATAGTAGTTCCATTTGAAGGATTTGACTCAATCTTTGAAACGTGTATAATAAATGGGCCCTTATCAAGATCAGAATAAGACTTATGACCCTCTTTTAATGACGGGTGTGTATATACTGATTGACTTGTTGATGTTGAAACTATGTTAATTTCATTTTGTTGCAACTTCAAAGAATCAGTAATAACTTTTTTAATGGGCTCACATTGATTTTCGAATTCAATACGTCGTTTTGTGCCGGATTGGCTAAATATTGGTGGTGATAGCTCCATCGGAGATTGAGTCAACTCCAACTCTCCATCAGGAGGATCCGGAGGATCCGGAGGAACCCGGTCCATTGCTTATACAGAAAACAAAATTAAATATTAATTAAGCACTTAAATAAATATACAAACGTAAACAGGTAATAATCCACAGCAACAAAATAGCGAGATAGCACAACAAAGAGCAAGCAAAATGACTAAAATAATCAGAACACAAAAAAGTTATATGCGTCCGTAATACTTACAATACGTACATTGACACTGACACTGACATTCTATTTCATTAAAGTCAAAAAAGCTCATGCCATACAGCCTCATTTTTGACATTACCATTTTCCGAATTAAACAAGCTGTTCTAATGAGGAAGTTCAAACGCACGTAAGCTCACTGGCATCTCGCTTACTATTCTAGTAAGAAGATAACGATGTAGTGGCAATAATAACAATATACAATAGATACCACAATCTCTATATCATAAAATATATAAATACAAACTACTATGCACCCACCATACGATTAAGGTTTGGCACAACGATGTTTGAAATTATGCGGTTATTTATATTAGGTCCTTACATATGAAATTGGTGTTTGATATAGGAGGAACAAAAAGTCGTATAAACCATTGTTAACTATGCACTTTTACCATCTCATAGGTAGTTTATTGATCCCCCTACTAAAAAAAACCATTCAAACGGGAATCAACAAAATGTTTGAAGGCGATTTGCGCTGCCCCATCGGAGTTGATTTTTTATCTTGCAAGAAGTTATCCAAATTTATATATATAATAATATAATAATATATAAACATATATAATATATTAAGTTCAATATTGTTTATAACGTCTATTTAAGAAAGTACGTGATGCTTTGACAATTCAAAGAAAGTAGTTCTTTGTAGGTGGTTAACATAAATTAAAATTACACTAACTGTTTTCCTGAAACCATTTTATTTATATAAGATACATTATTCGCTATCTTCTCTATCGGAGTTACCAGTTACTTCACTGGTGCCTTACATTCTCACTATATGTCAATAATTCTTTTTACCCGACTGCGCGACGTAAAGGAGGGTAATGTGTTTATCAGTCTATATGAATGTTTGTTTCTATGTGGCGTTCTAGAGACCAAATGCGTAGGCCGATTTTGATGATTCTTACGTCAATCGATTCGTCTTAACCTTGCGAATGTCACTAAAGACATGACAGTAATCAAAATTCACCATAGCGATAACCAGACACCATATTGTCAAAATGAAAAATAAAATCGATGAACTATGTCAAGTAGAGTATCGTTGAATAGGTATTTTAAAATCACCTTAAGGTTCCTTTTATCATTTTAAATTCAATTGTGCAGTTATTTAGTATTACTTAGAATTCTAAGCTACTGGGCTTGTTTCTTTCTTTTTAGTTATTATTTAAGTTAATTTTTTCATGTTTTTACGCAGTTGGGTTTTTTGTTTTTCTTAAAATTATTTATTTTTTATTCATAGGCAATAAAATCGTAAGATGTGGTTACTATAAAATGTGTTGTAAAACTCTTTTAAAATAATTGTTAAACTATACTATCATTTTTATTTTGTTTATTATAAAAAAACAGACATATAATAAAACTGATACTAGTGATTTAAAACTCAAGATTGATTTTGTTTTATTTGTAAGATGTTTAAAATTGTAGTAAATAAAAGTTGATTTAAAGCCATCAAAACTGCATTTTATTCTATTGAAAACTTGGAAAATAATTTCCATTTAAACGGATTGTGGTCTCCGAAATTCGGGGTTTTCATCTTTCTTGTCCTAGTCAATAGATTTTTGAGATGGCAACTCTAGTCAAAAGAAACCATTAAGCATTAATAAAGAAGTTGGACGAAAACCGTGGTTTGCCGTCTCCAAGGACTATCTGCAAAGGAAATTTTATAATAAATAGATTGCGTTTTGGACATTGTAGGTTTAAGGCTCGGTTGCACCGTATGCGCATTATAACATCCCCGATTTGCACTGAATGTTCATTACAAGACGGTCAATAGTTGGAACATATTTTTTTCACATATCCCGCATTCAATTTATAACGTTAAATAGATAAGCTTCTAGACACTTTCAAGACCATCCCGCCCTCTCTTTAAGAAATTCTATCACACCCAGAAAACTTTATCCCAGTTTTTAATTGCATTAGTTTTTCTGTTGGAGATATTTAATATATATTACAGACTTGTTAAATACATACATAAAATATATAAAAAAAAGAAATAAACACGGAAGATCTGGCAGTATGGCTCAATCGCCTTCGCCTGTCCTTAGAGGACGAAGTTTAATACTATCAAAGAGAACAGTAATACATAATACGGAAAAATACTACCAGTATTATGTATTATCCTATTATCAAATAAAAATGAAGCACAAAATGTTCGAAGAGAACATATTAATGAATGAGGCGTATATAAATTTCGGTAACGCTGATAAAAATGCTGAATAAAAAAAGAGTAGTGGTATCGCAAAACATTTTGCAGAAACTTGAATATGAGAAGAAGAAATGGTTCCATCAGGTATCTGAATGAATTACTTCAATTACTACGTCCATTGCATTCTAAATGGTTTGATTAAAGTTATAAAGTTAGATTCATCTATTGTTATATTTGATCTTGTTTTTTGTATTATCAGCTGCCTCAAGAACTTGGTACTATTAATAAAAATCTTACTCAAGATCAAATTAGGAAACAAGGAAGCAGTGCTTTACATGGCGAGACACTAGCGTATGAGACAAGTAAGTATCATTTTGGAACACAGAAGCAGGTGGCCTCCATAGAGGCATGCCTAGGGGCTGTCCATTAATCACGTGATGTGTTTTTCAGCATTTTTCAATCATCAAAATCATCATATCACAGTGGGTCATCAGACCAACAATTGGCTCGTACACTGCTCAACAAAGGTGCCATTGGAGATAGAGTTGCTGCAGCTACTGTCTTAATTCAGGTAGTAATGTCCTAAAAATACAATATAATAACACTGATAAAATGTTATAATACAAGATGTCCTTTAGAAACTATATTTTTTAAACTTAAATAGCCTAAACACTAAATTTTGAGTGTCCCTATAAAGGAGGTATGTATAAAAAGTAGTAAAATTTCTTTTTATTATTCAACAGTCAACAGTGTTAAACCAGCTAAGAAGAAGGATGGAATTATTGTCATTGGTAACAAATTTTCTACTTTATTTAAAATTATTTGACCCCACAAAGAATTCAAAAAGAAAGTACAGCTGTTTGGTAAAAGAATGACTTTGGACCTTTAATTCGTATAGCTATTTTAGTCAAATTCAAAGAAAAAAATCAATATAATTTATTCAGTCTGTACAAGTACAAATAGTGAATATCAAAAGGTATGTACTATAAAAGTTTGAAACAATGACATTACCCAATAAGCTATGATCATCATTTTGCCTAATTCCACATCTAGTTTGGCAAAAAGGTGCTTTATAGTTAGAATAAATAATTTGTACTAAAATTTGGTTTGTATATTAAATAAGACATATCACTTAAAGCTAGATAACATTGCATAATGAAAATAAAAATCGGCCCTTTCCGAGTTTCGAGCAACTTTCTCGTTTTTAAAATGATGATTTCAAAATGACAGCACAGAGTGACTTTTGAACGACAGCAGCGGGCGCGGGGGTTCTTTTAAAAAAATACGATTCGAATCGATCGTATCGAGATCTAATCTCGACGAAGTCCTCGTTATGAGTTCGACGAATCGCCTGATAAAATTGATAAGTGGGAAACCTCGTTGGTCCTTAATATTTATAATTTATTCCTATGTTTGAATTCGACATGGGGGAAAATGAAGTGCGGGAGCGTCGGGCCCGTTCGCCCGCTTCGGATTCACTGATTAAGACAGAAGTATCTATATTTTTTTTCAGATACTACACGTCTCTATACAGGAAGTTGACCTGTCCCGAGATATTCAACACCACCCACTCGGCCCTCCTCTTCTCGCTCATATACAAGTCGTTGAAACAGGACAAGAACATAAACCGGATCGCGGCGTTCGTGAAGCGACTGCTCCAGTTGTGTTGCCACCTGAGCCCGGCGCAAGCTTGCGGCATCCTGTTCCTCATATCTCAAGTGTTGAAAGATAACGATAAGAAGGAAGCTTTGACCTTAAGCAGGCGCTCCCCGAAGGAAATCAAAGAGGTGAGTCGTTGCACTGACTCTATTAAAGTAAAAAGAGACATTCTGCGATGGTTGGTCCAAAGAGAAAGAAGACCATAGACATTATAATGTTGTACTTGAACAGACATCATACGAAAACGTGTTTCTTTTTGAACTTGAGTAATTTATCGAGCTGTTTTTTTTATTCCTCATTTCTGTACTTACCGAACGGGTGCTCGTTCGGCTTCAATTTTACAATAATAAAAAGCCTCTATTGATTTCTCATTCATTACGTGACAAGTAATTTTTCGCAGATCGCTTGTTCATTGAAGAATGCCGGGACGGGTAATCCACCGCGTATTTATAGGGGCCGATTCTAGGTTGGCCTCGGCTGACCGGTGTAATCGAGGCATTACTAAAAAGTTCTGGAACAGATACCCTTTCTTCCCCGGTGAATGTCCTTTTCTTGCCGGCCCGATGTATACCTACATACAGGCCCCGGGCTTAGGTGACTGGCGCCCTGGGCAAATGGTCTACTGGCGCCCCCTTTATTACTATAATGTAAAAGCAAATAATCTATGTTACTTATATTTTATGAAGGAAATAACAAGAAAACACGTCTTTCATACACAAAACTGTAGACATTTGTTTCTCTCATTTATATTTATTATCTCTTTTATTTTGCGCCCCCAAAAATTTGGCGCCCTGGGCAAATGCCCAGTCTGCCCATTTATGGCCCGGGGCCTGCCTACATACAACCGTAACAACATAAATGTTGGAATTCTCCACAAAGCATGCCCCATGAATAAGTTTCAAACAATTGAAATTAATATAGAGCTGTTAATTGATAGCATATTTTGTAATGCATCTCGTATAATAAAATACCGGTATCAATACGTAAAGCCAAAAATAGTTTAGCTACTTTTAAGTTTGAATTGAAAGGGTTTCTCATCGACATGTGTTATTATTTTTCAAAGAATTTTTAACGGATTAAAATGCATAAAACGCATATTAATAATTAATTTCATCATTCACTCTAGAGGCGTGCACAGAGATGCATCATGTATCTATAATGAAAGAACTTACCACTTTCAGTACCTTTTAATTAATAATAATAATAATAAAGCCTTTATTACTGATTTGTAGTTTGCAATTTACAATTTATACCGAAATTCGCACATCATTCATCAGTGTGTTCTGCTGACACATAGGCCTCCTCTAACTTTTTCCATTCTTCTTTGTTTCTAGCTGTTCTTATCCATAGAGTCCCAGCTGTTCTACGTAAGTCATCAGCCCATCTCTTGAGCTGTCTACCTCTTTTCCTTTTTGTGTTATAACGCGGTATCCATTCAGCCAGGGTTTTGGCCCATCTCACTGCTGGCTGTCTTACAATGTGGCCAGACCATCTCCACTTTAGTAGTTTGCAATTTCATATTAACATCCTCGAATTTGGTGATCTTGCGTAGATCAGATGCACGCATCTTATCTCTCAATTTGTATCCAAGGATGCTCCTTTCCATACTTCTCTGAGTAGTTCTTAATTTGTTTTGGAGTTTTTGGGTTAGGGCCCATGTTTGACAGCCATATGTAAGTATAGGTAATAGACAGGTGTTGAAGAGCTTTCTCTTGATACTGATTTTGTACTTTTTGTTTTTGAAAATATCTTTAAGAGCCCAGTATCGCTTCCATGTGTTTGTTACTCGCCTGTCGATTTCTTGTGGCATCTGGTTTTGGAAGGATATTATCTGTCCTAGATAAATATAGGTGTTCACATACTCTATTTTTTCATTATCAACAAGTATTATTTTTTCAATATCGTTTGTCATCACCTTGGTTTTTAACTTGTTGATTGTTAGGCCCACTTCTTCACTTTTGCTAGCTAGGTCTTGGAGCATTGATTGCAAAGTCTCTGGGTTTTCTGTTATCAACACCAAGTCGTCTGCAAACCTAAGATGGTTGAGTTTGCGGCCATCAATATTGATTCCGAGATCATCCCAGGATAGTTTTCTCATGACCTCTTCCAGTACAGCGGAAAACAATTTAGGAGACAGGGGATCCCCCTGTCTTACTCCTCTTTGAATTGGAAAGCTTTTTCCGCATGTCTCAAGTTTGATGATCGCTGTACTGTTGAAATAAACGTTTTTTATCAGCCTTATGTATTTAGATTCGACCCCTTGATTTTCTAGGGCTCTCCAAATATAATGGTGTTCCAAACAATCAAAGGCTTTTTTATAGTCAACAAATGCCAAATATAATATGTACCCAAACTCTTGGCTTTTTTCTATGATTTGCTTTAGGCTGTGTATATGGTCTATGGTTGAATATCCTGCTCTAAATCCTGCTTGTTCAGGGGATTGGTGAAATTCCAAGGTTTTGCAGATTCTATTAAGAATTATTTTTGAAAAGACTTTGTATATATTTGACATGAGGCTAATAGGGCGGTAGTTGTTTATATCTTCTTTGTCGTCTTTTTTGTATATTAGGATGATCGTGCTATTTGACCACTGAAGAGGGATGTATTCAGAATCCATTATCACATTATACAGGTGGGTAAGTTTATGGAGGTTCTCTGGTAGAGTAATCATTTCATTTGTGATATTGTCTTGTCCTGGTGATTTATCATTCCTCTGTGATCTTACTGCATGAGACACTTCTATTTCTAATATTGGGGGAATATTCTCCTCATTATCATCTAGAGAGCTTATGCTATCTTTGGTTGTTTTCTCTGATGATTCTAAAGTTTTACTTGATTACAGGGCCTTGTAAAAGTTTGTAGCTATATCTAAAATGCTTCCTCTTTCAGTTTCAAGTGTTTGTTTTATGTTTTTTAATTTATGTATCCATGTTTTAGAGTCTGTGAGTTCTTTGAGGGCTTTTTTAATCCCCCCGGTCTTGGTTATATGGTTGTTAATGGATGCCATTGTCTTCCTAGTTCTGTCCTTTTTAATATTCTTGCTTATTTCCTTACTTATTTTTGTTATTTCATTTAGGGTGGTTTTATCTTTCTTGTTCATTAACAAAGCTTTCCTCTTCTGTATTAATTCTATGGTGTTTATGCTGAATATATCTTGTTTTTTGTTCATTAGTTTTGACGTTAAATTATTACTATACATGTTGCACATTTCCTTGTCATAAAGTTCTTGAGTTTTATTTATGTTGTTTTTCTTCTGTTTTGTTGTGTATAGTTGTATAGGGGCTGGTGGCAATCGAACTTTCTGTAATTTCTCCTGCATTTCTTTTTATCACCACCAATTAGTACTGCTCGTACCATGCGATGATTGGTATAGAAATTTAGCTTTTTGACTGTATCGACATCATGGAAGATTTTAGGTTGGTTACTTAAGATGTAGTCTATTTCATTGCAATAGAGACCATCCGGCGAGATGCAGGTCCACTTTTTTGTTGTTTTTTTCGGAAAATAGGTGTTCATAATCTTTAATTTATGTTCTAAAGCCATGCTTATCAGTCTCTCTCCGTTGCTGTTCCTTTTGCCTGTTCCGTATTTCCCCACTACAGTCTCTTCACCTTGGTTTTGTTTGCCAATCTTTCCATTGAAATCCCCCATGACAATTGTATTTTTGTAGCAAGTTTCCAGGGTCTCGCTGAGCTTCGAATAGAAGTCATCTTTAGATTTTTCATCTGAAGATTCTGTCGGTGCATAAGCCTGTACTATTGACCAATTTTTGCTGAAGCCAGGTAGCTTTATGTTAAGTATTGCTATTCTTTCTGAGACCCCTCTGAATTCAATAATATTTTTCTTAAGTTCTGGTTTGACCATGAATCCTACTCCGTAGAGACCTTTGGTTTCTCCTTTGTAGTAAAGAATATATTTGTTGTGTTCTTCAATGGTGTCGCCAAGTCTTCTTACTTCGGAAAGTCCAATAATGTCCCATTTAATGTTTTCAAGTGCATTTTCAAGTTCTAATATTCTTTCTTCAGTTCTTAAGGTAAGTGTGTTTATTGTAGCTATATAAATATTTCTGTTGTATGTTGCTTTTTCTTTTTCTTTCTGTTTAGTTAGAGGGTTGCGGTCTTTAGTCCCCACGGAGACCGCTTTCCGGCTTGGGGAATTGTTTAGGTTGTTATATTTTGAGTTTTCGTTTTTGCTGTTTGGTGGCTTCCGGTTCCTGATGTGCAGAGGTTGTCATTGTTTGCTTGATCCTGAGGTCGAGTTGGTTCTTAGGCGAGTTGAGATCCCTAGAGTGCTTATTTTGTTAACCTTGGATGGTGCGGTTATCTTCTCCTGATAGTCTTGAGTGGGTGAGTCAGTCGGCATTCTCTTCCTTTTTTCACTTTCTTTCGTTGTATCAGTTGGTTTAATTATATTATTAGGTTTAATTATAAGCTTGTCATAGCGGATATAGGCTACGTTCCCATTCAATTCCTCTTGTCTTTTCTTAACTTTCAGTTCGTTTCTTTTTATCAGGATTTCTTTTACTTAGTTTACCTTTAATAATTTAATGTTTGTTGGTCTACATGAAATTCGAATAAAGTTACCGATGAATTATTTCGTTTGGTATAAATCTGAACAATGCCTTAATTTTGATGAGTTAAATTAACGTGACTGTTTTCTTTTTAATTCTTAATTCAGTTAAACATCGTCGTAGAAATTACAAAGTTGCCTTAAAAGTCTTTTTTAACCAAAAAAAAAAAAATATCGTTCGCTTTACACTCGCTGGTATCGTAACTATTAGTTTTGCCAATTTGTTAATATATAGGAAATATCGTTGTTAAATTATTTAGTTATGTAAATTTTGAATGCTAGACAATTATAATTATCATAAATATTAAGTCGATTGGTTGAAAATATTCCGCCAACTACAACGTTGTAGTAGTTCTACATACTTTTGATAGATGGCACTTTTAATCATGAGTCTCTGAATACTCGTACCGAATTAACGTATGAGTAAGAATTAAACTATGTAATTGAGTTTTATGGGTAAGGTATGCAGTGCTTATTTGCATGTATGGTGTGCACGCCACTGATCGACTCGTATTAATATATCGTGTCACTAAGACATTGTTTCCTTATTGACTTGTATATTTTAATTTTATATTTTAAATTGCCCTACCCGATATGGTCATGTATCTTCACGAGCAAGTATACTAATGTAATAGTA